AGCTCCCAGCCTCTGCAGCGTGTCCCCTCCCCTCCACTCCGGCTGAGGCTGGCTGGCGGTCCCAGCGCAGAGCCCTCAGCAAGGATGGGGGTGCGCATGTGCCTGTATGCACATACACACACAGGTGTCCGCAGAGCCCCCAGCAGTGGCATAAATCCCCTGTCTCCGCACAGCTCCTCGGGCCGCTTTGGTGAGCAGAGAGAAAGGCGCTCTCTGCCTTCTGATAGCAACCGCAACGCCGTGTTATCATGGACTTAATTTACGAGCTGTAAGGGTAAAATAACTATTTATGCAGATGACTTTAACGGGTAGGGAATGTCCTGGCTTTGGGATGCTTCATGATTGTAACGGTGTTGCATTGTGCAAGGCGCCTCCGTTGTACCCATTGCGCATGCCTGAATTCCCCCAGTTTAGAAAAATGGCTTGATGAATCAGCACAGAGCAAAACCTGGGACGCAGAAGGGGGTTTGTGCCGATGGCCGTTTGCAGTAGCCACCAGTGAGCACTAAAAAGCCCTCCCCTCCCAGCTGTGGGGCTGATTTTGGGTGAGGGCGATGCGGCTTTCTGGCAGCCCCAGCACAGCAGGGACAGGGCCCCTGGGATGCAGCAGCGGTGTTATTTAGGGCTGGATGCATGCTGGTGGCTGGGTAGCAGCTCCCTCTCCTTGGCCAGAGCGCTGCCAGCCCCAGGGGGTGCCCACTCACCGCCGGACAGGCTGGGGGCTGTGGGGCAGCCCAGGGGCCAGGGCGGGCAGCAGGGACCCTGCCCATACCCCCCTCTCTGCAGGGATCCACCTGCGCTAGCTGGGATAACTCAACCTGGTCCCCAGCGACGCTCAGGCCCTCCTTTCCATGGATGTCATGTCTCTGTGACCCGAGCAAGCATGGGCTGACGACACCATGAAGGTATTTTTAGAAATGCCACTTTGCAGGCCGGCGGGGGGAAGGCAGCGGCCAGCAGAGCTCGCTGCCAGCAGCACCCTCCGCCCACACCCGGCAGGTAGCGGGGAGGCTCGATATATTGACGGCCATCAGCGCTAAAACACAGTGGCACTGGCCTGCTGTAGGGCACGCTGCTGGGGGACGGTGACCCTGCTGTGGGTTTAGCCCAGCCTTTTCCGCAGCCGAAAGGCATTGCTGTCGCAGCGCTGCGAGGCCAGGCAGGTTAATTTGCCTTTCACTTGGGCAAAGGGAAGCTGAGCGGGGCCTTTCAGAGCAGGCTTTTGTTCTACCCCAAGCAAGTATTTAACCTACATCTGCGAGTCAGGTGGCTAAAACCCCCCCAAATCCCAGCAAAAATGTAACTCCCCCTCCCCTCCCTGCGAGCAACCTAGTCACCTTGTCCAGCAAGGCAGGCAGGGGGGTACCTGAAGCCTCCTGTACATCGGGCTGCTCCCTGGAGCAAATTCCCACCAGAAGCATAAGGCATGGTGAGGATGTGTCCCCAGAGGGCAGCTAATTACCACCCAGCTCGTTACTCTAATTTTGCTCCTCCTTGAGGAGGTGAGGGGCTTTCTCAGCATTGCCACGGCATGGTTTGCCGAGCCGACGTGAAACGCTTGCCAAAGCAGGAACGAACCTTGCTTTCCGGCGCTGCCATTCCGCGCAGAGATAGGCGTTTTAATTAAGTCCTAGCATGCTCCTGGGAAATTTAATACTCATTTTAAAGTTCACCAGCTGAATTAATTCAACCCGGCGGCTCCGATCCTTGAGATAGGGTTGTGCTGAGCTGGGGTGGAGAGCGGGAGCTGGGGGGGGCCATTGCAAGGATCCCTGCCTAAATCCCAGGCGTGGGCATGCAGTCGGCCTCATCAGCTTCTCTGCACGGTGGCAGGGGGCTCCCCGCACCAAACCCTGTGAGCCGTTCAGGCCAGGTTTGGGCTGCTGGGGGGTTAGGGAGCAGCCCGTGGCCGAGGAGCTGGCCAGTCTGGCTGGGAGCTGCTGTGCGCCACGGCTCCGCCTGCATCCCCCCCTGCAAATCTCCTTTACATCAAGCAAACAAAAATACCAACATCGTTTTCAGGCTGCTGTAGTCAGGTAGAGCAAAACCCTGCATGCAGTCAGGGGAGCGCAGTGCGAGATGTAGCAGCCGTCAGGGGGGTGGCCCTTCCACCCCTCCGAATGTCCTACCTCGGGCTGCGCTGTGGAGCCTTCTAACCAAAGCTTCAGCCCCCGTGCCTCCCCTTAAAAAAAAACTTTGTCATATTTTGCAGCTGGCTTCAGGTACGACTTGGGTTTGCTTTAACGCTTGCGCCTGCCCTAAGCAAAGCGCCGCCGGGGCTCATCCTGTGCCGTGCCGGCTACTGGGGAGCTGGGAGCTGCTCTGCGGGAGAGCCACAGCTCACCTGCTAAGTCATTAATGTTGTATGGCATTAATGAAGTTGGGCTCTGCTTGGGCAGTGCTTCTCAGAAACAGGGCTAAGAATAAGCACGAGGCGGTCAGGCCGGAGGCTCAAACCGCCCCAGTAGCTGGGGGGTGCCCACGCTGCTTTGAGCAGGCCCAGTGAGGGGGCAGCTTGATACCAAGTGAATTCCACCCAGCACATTTTACCCAGCAAATAAAAATTAAGGCTGCACTGGGAAGATTGCCGTATCCCAAGCAGGAGGTCCTGAGCTCCCTGGCTGGCAGGAGCCCACCAGCCATCCCCTGGCCAGTGCCCCCAGGCAGCCTTGGGACCCCCTGCTCGCAACCTTGGGTGCTTTCTGCAATTCTTTTTAAATAAAAAAAATGCATGAAGAGAGAAGACGCAGGTGGGCAATTGGGATTTTTTTCAGAGTTTTGCTGCTCCTGCTGCTCATTTTCTCCTGGGAGCCAAGCCCCCACAGTGCCGCCGAGCCCCTTACCCTGGCAGGGTGACAACAGCAGTGGGGTGTGCAAAGGCAGAGATCGGCTTCCCTCCCCACAGGCAGAAGGGATGGGAGCCGTCTCCTTTAAAACATACATTCGGTTCTCAGCCCTATTTTTAGGGCTCTCCAAAGAGTGG